CCACCCCCCCACCCCCCCCCTCTCCACCCCCCTCGCCTCTCCACCCCTCTCGCCTCCCCGCCCCGCCTCTCCACCCGGCCGCTTCCTCGTCCCCACCACTGAGCAAGGCTACCCCCCCCGCCGCCGTCCCCGGCCGCGGCCCCATCAACCGACACGATCGTGACCTACGTCGTCACCGTCTTCGCCACGACCGACCACCATCGACTGGCCGCAGACCCCGTGGCATCGACGACCGGGCGGGTCTCTCGCCCCCTATGCGCTTTGTACGGTGAAGTTGACGGACACACCGGTTGCGTCAAAGAAGGCGCCGCGCGCTATGTCCGACGGCGAAAGCGTGCGGAGCAAGCTGTTCAAGACCGCGGTACGAACGCGCTTGTCGGTTCTGGTCGAAAAAGTCCTCGAGCTCTTGGTCGGTGCGGGTGCCGCAGAGGCCTGACTGGTCGGCGAGGATGCGTATGAAGTGCAGGGACTCCGGGCAGGAGAGGCCTTCCGGCAAGGCGTTGTTCAGGAGGACGACGAGAGCGAACAGCTGAGTCTTTGCGTCTTCATCGCTTGTCTCGCCAAATATGTCGCTACCGCCGTCACCCCTGCCCTCCGACGAGGTCTTCGTGATAGCCAGCATCGCGTCTGTCACCGTGTTGAAGTCACAGGCGGGGCTCTCCTCCGTCCCAGATTCTAGCAGTCGACAGATGGAGTCCCCCACGCACGCCGCGGGGAGAAGGCAGATCTGTTCATTGGTCAGCCCGTCCATGAATCCCGGCACGCCGCCGGCCACTCCGAGGGTCATGGCCGCAAGCGTGACGGTGTGCGTCGGCGCATCGATCGCGTCCGCGATCTTTCCGATGACCGACAGAGCCCACTTAGCCTGCCCTTCCTCAACGTTCTCGTAACCCGCCCTGTATCTGGGGTACTCCATCTCTTCGAGGCAGAGGAAGGCGCCCATCCGCGCATCGCAGTCTAGGTCGTCGTTGCCGTCATCGTCGTCGCGAGTGCCGCCGAGTCCATCTCTGCTAGACTCGCTACCCGTGTTGTTGGGTTCGTCGTGGATTCCCCGTGCCGAGGCGTCGCCCTCGTCAGCGTCACCGGAAGAAGAACCGTTGCTGCTGTGCTCGTCACCGTCGCTCTCAACGCCGTCGGAGCTGCCGCTGAGAGCAGCAAGGCCAGCGAAAGCGCGCAGCACGTCGTTGCGATCGATGTGGTCGGCCGAAGGCGGCGGTGGAGGCTCGTCGTCGTCTTCGTCCTCGTTTCCCGCGTCACTGTCGCCGCGACCATCGTGTTCGTTCTCTCCCTCACTGTCGGCGGCGACGGAGCTGTCGTCCGTGTCATATGGCTGTCCTGGAAGGCGTGGTGGCTAGGAGTTACCCAGGGGCAGTCGATTCTCTGCCTTCCCACTGCTGAGGCCCCCACATCCTGCGGTGCTCCCACGATCGACTCCTGGAGTGGCTGCTGCTGCTGGCGTGATCGCGCTTCCAGCGGGCCAAATGAGGCGAGCCCGTGCGGCGCTCCGATGCTCAGACGCATGGACGGGTCGACGTCCATCTGGCTTGGGATGATGTTCACGGCCTGGAATGAATGGTAGACAAGGATGCAAGGGTCAAACCACAAGCGGTGTAAGGTTGTCAGGGCGGTAGGGCTGCGAGAAGGAACAACCAAGTTTTTGTTTGGACAAACCGATAGAGCATTATTATGAATCTGTTATGTGCATGTAAATGCGGCATGGTTGAGGCTGTGCTTGTTTACCATGTGCATGTACTCAAGCGTACGTACGTTTTTATGATCCGTCTATTCCTTACGTAGTCGTTTGGCGGAGGTAGGTATAGTTTTGAATCATTGGGCCTGATTTTTCAGGGCATTTTCGGGATAGTTTCGGTCGAACTACATTGTTGTGCAGTCTACGGCTGTTGACGTGGTGTCTCGACGTAGCTAGTGGTATGGACGCCGCTGTTTCATTATTCCAAATACCAGTCGTATTAAAGCTACTATCGTCAACGAACGGCACATAATACCTGTGCACACTGTGATATTGGCAATCATGTACATTCCACTTAATTAACCTATTCTTCGTTATCTCATGCTGGCAGGGATCGACTGATTGACCTGCGGTGCTGTTGACACCCGCCTAGCTCTACGTATGATGCAGTAGAGGCCCGAGACTGCTTCTATTCTCACCTACCCCTCGCTGCGTACCAAACAAGAAAGCAAGCTTGTTTGATGTTGTCAGCAGTGACATCGAGACTCACGAGTGTCCTGTAAAGGATGTGTGATGACAGCCTGATCAATACCAGCTGGCTCAAGATGGTTTCCACCGTGCCGGAGAGTGAGAGGGGGACACGTGCCTTACGGCGTTCGGGGCTAGCGGTGGTGGCGACTGCTTGAAATAGGACGAAGCGACGCGGGTGGAGGGAGGGAGCGGATGGTGGACATGGGAGCTGACCTCATTGTTGATTCAAAAGTGTTTCGTCGCAACGGCATCGGTCGCCGAAAGAATTTCATGTCGATCGTCCCATGTCAGTTGTGGAAAGCTTTTTCATCACGATTCTCGGACAACGAACACTTTACAAGCATATCGTCGACTTTTCATCTACACGAAGAACAGTACGATTGGGTGGAGAGTAGATTGATTCAGGCGAATTTTCTTCGCGTGTTTTCGAAGGGTAAAAGGAATATACATGCGACCCAAACTGCGAATGACGGTAAAATAAAGCGGCGAGAACAAAAAAACAACAAATCTTACCGGTGGGCATGTTCCCGTAGGGCACGATCTGTCCGCCCCCGTCGGGTTCCCCGGCCCCACTTGGCGGCTCGCTTCTTGTTGAAGCCTCCGGATCGAGAATCAGCGCAACGCCGGACGGCATCACCACCTCCTGGTCAAGCGTGACACCTGCCGGTGGAGGAGAGTGCGTCGTCGATGCACAAAGGTTACATCCCAACAGCCCCCTCTGCGGTCATCTCGGCGGGTCCGGGTGTGTTGGTCACCTCGTCGAGCACCAGGCTGGCCTGCCTAGGGACTTGCTGTGCTTTCGTTGGGCCGTCCATGGCATCGGTGCACGCCGACGGGGCTGGTGTGGAGATACCGTTCTCCCCGTCTCCTTGGATTCGTTCCGTGCTCGAGTCCGACCTATCACGAGGTGGCAGTCAGCAAGGGCGGAGATAATACGAACACCGTTGTTGGTGGAGGAACAGACGGAGGGAGGTCGGAACTCGTCGTCGCTTGCTGTACCCCAAGCGTGGGTGAGGAAGGTTGTTCCGCCGTAAAGAGAGCGATAACATACATCGGGAGGCCAGGCGTTATACACGATTTGGCGAACAGTTATTCACTCACCTCTTCCTAGTCAGGGGCGCCTCTTCTTCGTCATCGTCCGAGCTGGACCACCTCTCGTCCGCGGCCTCGACGATGGTGAACATGTCCTCCTTCGACGATGAAGAAGGTGTCTCCTCCGACAGCGCCGCCGCCGCCGCCGCCGTCGTACCCCGGACTGATTCCTTCAAGAGTGACGAGGATAGCGGTGATGTTGACGGCACAAAGGCCGGGGTGGCGTTGTTGGCGTGTCCGACGATGCCAATGCCGGCGACGTTGCTTGGTTGTGCCCTGTTCGATGAACGCCGTTCTTGACCGCATGACGACGGAGATGGCGTCTCGACGATGCGGCTCCCGGGTAAGGAGACGGGGAGAAGGTCGAATCGCTCATCATGCGAGAGATGTTCCAGTTGCTGTTGCTTGCTCGTGGACGTTCGGTCGACGGCCGACGTCGGGATGTCTTCCCCTCCGACAGTGAAGTCGGCTTGGGAAGAAGACGGAGACGGGGTGCTGCTGGGTGAAGCCGGCCCGTTGCTAGTCTTGCCGTCGTCGTGGAGAGCTACATCGATGATACCTATCATCAGTTCGAAGGCAGCCCCTGCAGCAGATGACCCCTGCCACCACACATGATTGGCGGTCAGGCCAGAGGCCGGTGAGCGCGGGAAACGTTAGAGACGATGTCAACACGATATAACAAAGACAAGAAATCGCGAAGCTTCCGAACGCACAGCGGGAACAAGACAAATGCACCATCGTCGCTGTGCTCACACTCCTCGTAACCCGATGCCCCTACCTTTCTGGCTTCCTTGCTGGAGATACCCTGAGCGTGGAACTTGAGCAGGCGGGCGTGATCCGGTCGAGCGTTGACCACCGTACCAGCAGACCCGAACAGAAGTTTCAGCAGCTGTCGGACGTTCTGCTTGCCTTTGGCGGCCCAGCACTGAAGGGTTTTCGCCTTCACTGCATCCCTCCCATCGGTTGCTTTCGCTAAACACCTCCCGCTCTTGATGCTGGGTTTCGACGCACCCCTCATATTGTTCTTCTTTGTCTCTTTGGTGGCAGCTTGCAGGAGATCGATGGCGCTCTTCCGTTCTGCCGCCGTGACAGTCGTGGAACCGCGGGTTCGACCAGCAGCACCTGGAGCAACTTGGTCTGGAGTCCTGCAGTTGACTGTTGAGTCGCCACAGTTGCCGCCGCTTCCCGCGCCGCTGTCGTTGTTGGCGGCGGCACTGGCCTTGACAACAGTAACAAACAGCATCAACAAATAGCCCACCTGCTGCACAATGCCGGCTGGTGTACCCATTAGGATGTGCAAAAGTTCGTGAAGCTGCTTCGGAGATGGGCCGTGGGCGGCTGGGTCGAGGACGCCGACCCTGATGGGGTTACCGCCCTGCTCCCTCGCCTCGTATCACGGGTCGCTCGTGACATATTATTGCCCTGCGTTTTGAATAATGTTCTTCCTTCGGAGAGCGAAAGCGAGGGTATTGGGAACGCGCGGTAAGGACATGAGAGCCCCGACCGAACAACCGTCCAGTCAGTTGAGACATGTCGGCAAGTACGCGCAGCAAGTCAGTGAAAAAGTCTTCAACAGTCTAGCAAGTAAGTATGCCAACAGGTGCTACGGGTCCCTATCGGCTCTTTGGTCTATATGGGGGCGCTTTGGGCCGAGTGAGTGCCAAACACGTTGCAGCAACGGCGTTGGAACATCACACACTCTCGCTGGCTGCTCTCAAAACACTCTCTGGCAAACTCGAGAGAGCTCTGGAGTTGGTACTACAGTCTGATACCTCGCTGTTGTGGAAAAATTGGTGTGGTACGTTCGAGTTCTTCGAAGGGACGCTTCTGAGCGTGCACACCACACCTACCTCACTCACTTACCGTTCTTCTTGAAATAACGTGTACACTCGTTGTTTCTGGTGTGGAGTCGCTGTGTGAGAAGTGTGAAGTGTCGCCTGTGTGCTCTCTCTGCAGGCGTTGGGCTGGCTGGATCTTTATGCTGGTGGTAAGCTGTTAAAGCCGGTTGAACCAAGAAAATAGAGTTGGAAGTTGATACGTAGAGTGGTTGCACCGAGCAAATAGAGTTGGTTGCACCGAGCAATAGAGTTGGTTGCACCGAGCATGGCGTGTTGTTTGAGTATCTAACAAGGCTGTCAGGTGCCTGCTTGAAGAAGAAAATCTCTCCTCCAACGTCTTGGATTGGTCTACCATTATCCTGTTCGAAGGGCGTCCTACAACGATCCTGTTCAGAACGTTGAGATCATGCGGCGAATCTGTTACCGTTGTGTGCTGGTGCCTGATTTCCTGAACGACATGAATAGTCAGGCAATAACAGTTTTTCTCCAAGCTCTCTTGGGAGAGACTTCAACGCATCCCTTTGATTGATATCTTCTCGAATGAATACTTTCTGTGATTGTGTTGTATTTTGTAATATCCAGTTATCATCGTTACGCCAATCTCTCCCATATCACGCAACGTCTGTCGTTCAACTGCTGCAGCATTGGTCGGGCCGACTTCGCATACCACGCGTTTATTGCGAAAGCACTGTAGGTAAGGGCCAGTTTGCACGCGCGTAGTGTGATGGTGAGATCAACAAGGAATGCGGTATACGCCCTAGTGAAATATCGTGTTAGGCTGGCACGCGTAGTCTGTACTGCCGCGTGACAAGGCAAACCCGTAAGACCACCCGTATAGCTACACGGCTTTGGGCCAATAATATATAGAGGGAATCCACGTGTTGTTGAAATGACGTGAAAGATTGACATTTCAGGAAGTTTTGACGTGACGAGGTTACGTCGCGTTTTTTGAGGCAAACTCTGACGGCGAAATTTTTGTGAAAAAGCGTCAAAACTTAAACCGACGCGAAGAGATTGATACTTCAAATGTCGCCAGACTGTGGCTCACACACGCTTGCTCTGTGCTCTGTTACCATCACCAAATCACGAAAGGAGCGCGGTCAGAAGCGAACACATTGGCCATGCCTACTGATTGCTCCTAGCGGTCCTGCACACACACGTCTCGGCAGTTCTCACGGCGGCCCAGTGGCCGGACTCGCGTATTCGGCGCGCGCGTTCGGTAGATGAGCCATCGCGATTGCGCACGGGCTTTCAGCAGCAAAAAGGGGCATAGGCAGTAATCGGGGGAGTCCCGCCCTCGAAGGGAGCACATATAGAGGATTAAGGGAGGGTACGGGGTTCGGTGCTCTGCTGCCGCAGTGACATCGGTATACAGCAGTACAGCAAGCAGCTGCCTCACTCATCAGCAACGGCAGTTTGACGCCTGGGAAGTCGCCGCGGCAAAAGAGGGAAGGTCGGCGGGATGAGGCGGAGGGGTACACCTAGTCTCCTGGGAGCCTGGGAGTGTGAGTCTTCGCTTCAGCATGTCGACCCCGGGTGGCATCCCGAACCAACCCGGGGTCGTGAACACATGATGACCGACGTTTAACGCGTCAACTCTACATCACCATTTTTTTGTTTCCCTCCTACGTGCCAACGGGCACACGCGGTGCGATTTTTTTTCCCGTCAAAACCCTCAACCGTTACTTTATGTTGGCGTCAATCCTCAAAGGTCAAAATTCCGCGTCAATCCATAGTGGATACCCTATAATATGACGACAGAAAAAACTCTTGGTGAGCGAAAGCACCTCTCTCGTCTCCGCTGACTGGTGGTTTGGGGTTCTGGACTGTCGATTATATCCCGTAGGGATATCCTACAAACACAGTTATGAGTCTCAAGGTGGCGGCGCACCATCTTATTTTGTGCGCGAGGCGAGCTACGCCGGGAGGGGGGAGTCCACGCCCGTTGCACGTAGCAACGTTGCAACGGAGGTCGAAAAATGAAAGAAAAAATAGTCGTTTCAGATCGAAACGACACGACCAGACCCAGCAGGCCTGCGATTGCGCCGCATGTAAGATGTACGACATTCGATCGCGATCTGTTACACCACAACGTTCCGTTACACATAGCTGGATGTCGTGGATAAGGGGTAGGTGCGGCCATGCTGGTGCTGAAAGACTCCTTGCCAGGTGTGCGGCAACACATAATAAGGGCGCCTTCGTTTTTTCAAAGGTCTTTCGGAGACGGACAAGAAAGAAGAGATGATGTGTATGCACATCACCACGCTGCTCGGGAATTGACGGGTACATACCGAGAGAGCTGCTGCTGCTGCCAAGAAGGCTTGACCCCAGGTTATGGTGCGCCAGGAGTCCCCATGACTACACCTTGTTTTGCGCTGTTGATCGGGCGATTGCTTGCGTTAAACTTGATTGCTTGTGTTCAACACACTGCACGAACACACAAACGTTTTTTCCAGCTTTCTCACCGTCGCCCCTAAAGCACCGCAGCGGAGGCGGCAGGGGCAGGGGGCTATGCTTCAGTACAGATACTGGCATTAGACCAGACTAGCAAGGGTTGGTCTCACTCGGTCATGGTGGGCCTGTCGTTTGCTACACCAATTGCCGGCTATATTGTAGTGTGCAACACCGTGTGCGCATGCTCACGCAGCCCTCAAGGATTTCAACCAGGGTGAGATTTACCGAACCTGATACCTACTTGTAGCAAGCACGCTGCCTCCGCATGGCAGAGTGCGCAAAACTCTTACAACAGCAACAGTTCACAGAAACGCATGAGGTAAGGAAGGCCTTGCGAATAACAACAACAGGCTTTTTGGCACGCACGTGGCCTCAAAAATGCTAGCAAAAGCGTCTCCTTGCTGCAAAGCAAATTACTTTCCATGCTGGAGCCGCCTAGGGTGGGCAGATCATTGCATGCAGTCGTATCCACTTCCACGTGAAAATCAACCGGAGATGAAACCCTTGGGATGTGTGCACCGTTCACGCGCCCCTATTGCTACGACGTCTGTAGAACATCTCGGACTATCTCCGCGAAAAAGCCCTTGAACGTCTCCGCCTTCTCCGCTCTGGGCAGAGGTCGGTCTTCCAGCAAGGTCTCTTCGAAGAAAAACGCCTGCACGGTTTTCAATTGTTCGGAAGAAGTGAGAAACAGATCGGCAGAAAATGATACCGCTTCCAGCAGACCGACGAGAACGGTAGGTAAATCAATCGACATGCTGCCGTCCATGATTCCGCCGACGGAGTACGTAAGCCTCGGACCGTGCACTTAATGCATACGCCGAGCAAACATAGAACCCGATGCAAGTACTGCTGTACCCGGGCAAGCGAAGCGAGCTCGAAGACAACAAAGGCATTAAACCCAACGCAGTTAAGCCCGGACCTGTGAATGAATCTGGGGAGAAAACAATTATCCAGAACAGGTACAGCAGAAGAAGCCCAGAGAAGAACAAAGGCACTAAACCCGACCGACGTAGCTCAGCGCGCCCTAGCACAAACAGCGCACCTCAGGGGTCCCTGGTCGGCTGTAAACCACCTCCTGACCCGCCAACGGCCGTACAGCCCGTCTCATCTCCAAGTACTGCCCTATCGCAGAGTCTCGGGAGGGGGGGAAAGGGAGGGGAGCCTCTCCCGCCGCCTCGCCGGCAGCGAGGGATGCCGGAGAGTCGGCGTAGTGTACAACCACCCGCCAGAACGTGTCCACCACGAAGATTCGGCAGGCTGGGGAGGCTTCGGTTACCGCTTGCCTGGGAACAGCGAGGGGCGGAAGAGGGACGTCAACCGGAGGGCCGGAGCAGGAGTATTGTCGAAAATGCGTCATTGTTACCCATTACTCCGAAAACAATCGGGGAGCATCGTTAAACGATCGCCCGGTCGCGATTCCGCACAGACGGCAAGAGTCACCAAGGTGTTGATGCAAGTACCAAGCCTGCCGAACACTCGTCAAGGAGAAGAGCGAGGAACACTCCAATACCGTCCTCGATCACTTGGGGGATGAAGCACTCCGCTTGGGAGATCCGTGGTCAATGGTCTAACCGCTAAGGCATGCAAAACATGAGTCCCCCCCCCCATATGGAGTTGATGGAGGCAATGGGTACACCGAAGGATGCCGAAGGCCGGGACCAGGCCGGGTCTAGAATCATAGAAGGGTGGGAAGAGCTGGTAAACACAACAGCAAGCAGAGTTCTAGGTAGAAAGTTGATAGTTTGTAAGAGAGCAGTGAAGTGGTGGGACGAAGAAATCAAGCAAGCAATTCGAGTACGTAGAGAGTCACACGCAAAATACGCGGCAGGGAAAACAGATGCAGGATGGAAGGAGTATGTTGAAAGTAGAAAGAGGGTGAAGGAGTTGGTCGTGAAGAAGAAGAAAGGGTTGTGGGAGGAAGTAGTCCAAAAAACTAACGAAGATTTTGAGGGGGGGATGAAGCAAATGTGGGTAGGAATTCAAGGGATAGTGGGCAACAAAAGAGGGGGAGACACGGAAATAACGACACTAAGATCTGCCGAGGGTAAGATGGTAAGCAGTTCTAAAGGAAAGAGGGAAGTACTAGTAGAGCACTACCGCAAACTTGGGACACCCACCACCAACGACAACTTCGACTCGGAGTTTGAGAAGGAAATCAACTCGTGGGCAGAGGAAAACGTTGAAAGATCTCAGAGGGAACGTAGTGATGTAGACGGGTTGCAGGGAGAGTTCACACGAGAAGAGGTAGAGGACTGCGTAGCGAAACTCAAGAATAGAAAAGCGGCAGGGACTGATGGAATTGTGAACGAGCTTTTGAAACAGGGGGGGGAGGGGATGATTAACATGTTGGTCCGGATATTCAACTGGATATGGAAACACGAGTACGCGCCGAAGAGATGGAGAGAAGGAGTAGTCGTGAACCTGTTCAAAAAGGGGGATAAAGCTGACCCGGGGAATTATAGAGGGATAACCCTGTTGAGCACAGTGGGGAAACTGTTTGGCAAGATGATAGACAATAGAATGGGAGACATGTTGGAGGGGAAACAAAAGATCAGCGAAGGACAAGCTGGATTTAGACCAGATCGTAGTTGTGTAGACCATGTATATACATTGAGTATAATCATCCAAGGTAGGAAAGACGCCGGGCGTACGACATACTGTTTCTTCCTCGATATACAAAAAGCCTACGACACCGTATGGCGCAATGGATTGTGGGAAAAGATGTGGGACATCGGCATCCGGGGGAAAATGTGGAGGATGTTGAAAAAGATGACAGAATGCACAAGAAGTGCGGTGATGTTGGATGGGGAAATTTCCAAGTACGTGGATATACTCCAAGGAGTCGCACAGGGCTGTACGATGTCACCCACTCTTTTTAAGATTTACATCAACGATTTGATAAGGGCGGTTGAAGCAGTAAGACAGGGAGTCCAAGTAGAGGGAAAGAGTGTGTCCGGACTGATGTTTGCAGATGATTTCGTGGGGGTATCCGAAACACCAGAAGGGTTGCAAGAACAAATAGATGCGGCGGTAGGATACACCCGAAAATGGAGACTGTCGGCGAACGTAGGAAAATGCGCAGTAGTGGTCTGTAACGAAGATAAGAAAAATCCCGTAGAATTCCAATGGAAATGGGGGGAGGAAGAACTACCGGTAGTAGACAAGTATACGTACCTGGGAGTAGAGATTTCGAAGGAGTGCTAATGGGACGCACACATAGCGAAGTTGATTGGGAAGAGTAAAGCTCAGATAGGCAAGATGGACGAGATCCTTACGGACCCACACCTAGACACTAGGATTAAGAGGTGTATTCTCTTGAAGGTGATTATACCTAAGCTAGAGTATGCAGGAGAGATATGGGAAGGTAACGAAAAGGCCGTCAAGCAGCTGGAAACAGTGCAGATGGCAGCGGCCAAGAAAATACTAGGATGTTCAAGTACAACGAGCAACACTGTATTGAGAGCAGAATTGGGAATGTACTCTCTTAAAACAAAGAGAGACATGCAGAAGTTGAATTGGCAGTACAAGGTAAGTAGAATGTCGGACGATAGACTACCAGCCATGGTTGACGAGGCAGCTTGGGGAAAAACGACTCCAGGGAAGAAGGGAATCAGATGGGACAAGGTGGTAGAGAAGGTTTGGAAGGAGATAGGAGACGAGGAGGAGACGTTGGACACGGAAGGGTTCGGGGGGTTCAAGACGAAAGTCAAGGAGATGCTAGAGAGTAGGGAGGAGGCAACCCTTCGGAAGATGGTACGAAGCGAAGACCACTTGGAGATATACGGGAAGTTGAAAGAAGGGATAGGGATGAAGAAGTACTTGGACGGCCCCATGGACTATGCGAAAAAGCTGAAATTGCAATTTCGAGTAGGCGATCTGGACTTGCCAGAACGGAGGAAGAGATATACCAGCCGTAGGAGAGAGGAAGAGGAGGATAGACACACATGTCCATGTGGCAAATCGGAGGAGAGTAGACCCCACATAGTTGGGGAGTGTGAGTTGTACAGGAAGGAAAGAGAGGATCTCGAGGAGGAAATGAGACAGAGAGGGTGTGACATGGACAAGTTTGGTAAATTAGACAACAGCGAAAAAACGATCGCGATAATTGGGGATAGATGGTGGGCACAAGAGGCCCTAGAGGACGGGGATAAGATGTGCAAGAAATTTTTATGGAGTTTGTGGCAGAAACGTAAAGAGCTCCCAAATGTTGGTGGTGTCTCTAGTAGGTGTAGGAACGGTGCTCCGTCTCGAAAGGGACGCGTGGTCAATGGTCAAATGACTACGGCAAGCAACAAATGAGTACGCCCCCCCCCCCCCCCATATGAAGTGGGTTGAAAATGTGGGAAGTGGTATCGACTAGGGAAGACATTTTGAGCCACCTTTGGCCAAGTAGGAAGGAACGATTGGCCATCGGCGACCGGTCCTGTGGGAGCAATGCTCCGTCCTCTCGAGGACGCGTGGTCAATGGTCTAACCGCTAAGGCATGCATAACATAAGATAATGCCCCACGCCCCCTCCCCCTCCCACTCGGGAGATCCTCTTCGGAGATACCACTGCTTGGGCCGACAAAAGGCAAGATTATAGCTACTCACCTAGAGAGTGAGAGGCTGTTGGCCAGGCGGATGTCTGGGGTAGCGTAACCCTGCATCTCGGGGTAGAGCGCGATCGACAGCGACTCCGGGTCCAACGAAGACAGACGGCTGAGCAAGCTCACCCTGCACGGTGCACGGACACGATGCAACAAAAACGCCGGGCAGGAATGAACACAACGGCGGCTCACACCGTGAAGCGTGTATGCAAAGTCCATTTAGGACGTGTACTTGGGATTCACGAGACACACGACAGCATCTTCTCTTTGTGGTGCAGATTGCTGTTTTAAGCAAGAGAGTGACGCAGCCCTTAAACATTCTGCACGCCCGCCGTCCACCCGCTCACCTCTCGTCAGCGATGCCCTTCGTGGGGTGCAGTACCGGCGATTGTAGAAGGCCGAACACCTGCCTCGCCACGCCCACGATCAGCGGGTTGGCCATCAGGGCCTGGGCCTGCTCGACCCCGCCGCCGCCGGGGATGGCGCTCTCCCTCCCGCCCTCGGACGCCGCCAAGCTCTCGGCCAGGCCGGAGATGAAGTTAGCCAGCCAGTCGCGTAGGAGTCCGCGGGCCTCGGCGAAGCCGCTGTGATAGTGGTGGTACGCACAAAGAAAACGAGAGAAAACGGGCCATGTGGTTGGTAAAAGAGCGCACTCTGGCATCTACCGAAGAAATACCTGGTAGTGTCTACCATACCGTTGTTTTGTGCAAACGTCAAGTGACTTTAACGTCGTCTTGTTTGTGTCTCCGAGGTTCGTGGAACACGGGGTTCGTGGGAGTGTGTGCGGCGTGACCTCTTGGGCCATGCGTTGTGAGGTGTTCATACACGCGCAAAGCACATCTTCAACTGGGCAGGACATCGTCGGCGACAGACAACATCCGCCTCGTTTTCGAGACATGACCTCCAGCAGTGTGCTTCAGACCCTTGGGGCAAATAAGCACCCGACCCGGCAATAAATTTCTCTTGTCGTCGCGAAACGCTTGAGACTACATGCATCGCCCCCCGTTCAAAAAGCAAACGCGTGCCATCCCGCTCCCGACAGGTCTGGGCGACCAAGAGAGAGGTCGCCTACACGTGCAAAGAGAGACGCTTGAAACATCAGATTCCTGTCACATTTCTCTGTGCCACACCTCCTTCGGGCCTCGGAGACGACCTTGTGGGCTAGCACCGCGGCCACGGTCGCCGGGTCCGCCGCCGTCGCCACAACTTCGACGCTGGGAGAAGAGTCGGTCCTTACCGTGGAGACCCTCAAACGCCGAACCGTCACCATTCTCGCCGCGTTGGTCGCTTCACCGCCGTTGATGGCGTTGTCGCTCGCTGCCTCGCTTGAAGCGTTGGCGTCCGGAACAACTGCGGTGTACGCGAAGGCGGACTAGGCGGGAGGTGGGGGGGGGGCAGCAGCGGTGGAAGGAGGAGGAGGAGGAGGGGGGGGGGCGTAATCATGTAAAGGCGTGCCGAAATCTTTTGACCATGACCTCCAAAGAAG